GTGGCAAGGCCCAGTGTGAGTGGTTCAAACCTTACGCAACTTGTACTTACTATGCAAAAATGGGGCGTTACGCCCCAGGCGGTTCGTCGGTTATGTGAAACCAAAAAAAAAACAAAACAGACAGACGTATGTATGTGCGTGTACAGTTGCAGAAATGTGTATCCTGCCGTAGTATCATTCCATTTCGTACGTTACAGGAATATCATACAAGTAGTGATGTGCATGAAAGCAGCCTTTTCAGACCCAGGACGGCCATCAAGCAGGCGTAACGCAGTATGTCCAAACGTACTTTTGTCTGATCCATACTTTCCATGTCATCGACAATGACATATCATCCGCCATGTTTGTCTTCAATTGTTCCAAAGATGCCTGTAAGTCATATTAAGCGGAACGTTCAGTGTTCAAGTTCTAAATCTAAATTGCAAATCTGACTCCCTTTGCAACGGGAGCTGATAATGCGACGTTAGGGCGGGATGGGGACGGGGGATAAGTATCGTCTCTAGGTTCCAGCTCTCAAGAGGCCAAGAAATCAAGTAAATGTGTTTCCGTCAGTTCACGGTGTTGAAGTATGGTCCATTTTGAGGCCGTTATTACAGGCCTAGATCGTACAGACTTATGACTGCGGGGTGCGGCCGTAGAGGAAACACATTTTCCTGCTAGTAAGCGTCTTTTCACCACAGGATGATGTATGAGCCATTTTTTCTTCAGTTTAGGAGGTCGTTGCGTATGACACATGTACAGTGACAGCATCGCTAGCAGTGAATGTCTTTTAGCGTTGGTAGAAAGGCAGAAGCGTTTGAAGTAAGTCACGTATTTTTCAGTCTGCATATGTCTAGAAATGAAAGCATCTTACCCAAAACGGTTCTTTGATGGTGACTAGATGAATATATGGACGAATAATCAGGCAAACCGTCTCAGCCATTCCCATGATGATAAAGTATAAAAAAGTTCCCATTGTGTGTTACGCTCCTTTTGACAGTTATTAAGTGAGAAGGTTGGGAGGGGTGTACTTAACGTTACTGTGTTTTATCGCTGTCCTTGAGTCGTCAGTGTTCCATTTCCGTCAATGTCCACAGCGTTTCGTACCATCACATCTCATCGCGATCTGCTTTTAGGAGTGAGAGGTAGAAAACACTTATCTAGTAAAGTGGGACCCCCTGGGTGCTTGATTTCCTGAAAGGCTTTGGCTTAAAATGCTTTTACGCCACGACGTAGCGTTATTTCAGTATGATACGTGCTGTTTTTACTTTATGCACCACTATGTGGCACGAGCGAATGGTAAGGATGTGGGACTTGTGGAGACATATATGTTTCACCGCACTGTCCATAACTATCTCCGTAAAAGCACATTATAGAGAGGGGATAGCTGACCACATACAATCAATATTATGCTCTTAAATCCTTGCAAAAATAAAATTTGTTTTGTCGCATTATACAAGTGCTATGAACTTATGATATGTTGAGAAGTGGCATATAGGCAACAATTGTCGGAGACCCGTGTAGCCAAGTTTTAGAGAGTCATTTTGACTCCTGGCCAACAAAGTCTGACTCTTGGCCATGAAGATAATGAAACGACTTGTCTCATGTCTTAAGCCGACCAGGTTGACTCAGACACATACGAAGGTACTGGCAACTACGTGTAACAGGACACGTCGCCAACTGCAACATAGACATTTAAGTCTCAACCGCACAAACATTTCAATCCCGGCAGGACGTTTGGAGACCTGTTACAAGTCACGACACGTGCTACACAAGACCATGCCGGTAGTCACGACCGCTTTAGGAAGCAGTGCTTGATGTGTAATTAAATCACATGCTCAGTCACCGTGATCAGCATATTGTGTGAGACATCGTGTCAGGCGAACACCAGACAGAGCGAACAGGACACTTGTTCCCGAGATTGTATTTTTCACTTAACTTCATGCAAATTAAATCCGACAGACCTGTTGGGCCTATCTCATACTGGGATTAGTCCTGCTTTTTCGCCTCTATGTCATGGCACTACGGTTCTTCGTTTCATATCTGTTCTCAGGCGAGCTTGAAAATCAAATTGTCTTTGTGTGACAGCATACCGAGAACAAACAAGTGAGGCGAGAGTCTTTAGATATATGTCATGTCATACTAGACTGCATTTTTTATCATCAATTGGCTCTTTATTTCGCTTGTATGTGCTTCCGCCGCTTCTTCGCAAACGTTTTATCCATACAAGCGGGTATTTGTTTGTTTCGCATATTAACCGGTAAACCACCTTCAGGCGTAACACACCAGTCTTGTACATGTAAGTACAGGCTGCGTAAGACCGGACTGTAAGGTTCGAACCACTCACACCGAGAAGGACCCCTACTCTTTTCGATAAGTGCGGTGGGTTCTTTTACGTGCTTCGAGTGTGGCTCTCCCCAAACACAGATACCCCATTTGGCGTCCTATCTAAGGGACGTCCCTAACCGAAGCTTGGTACTCATTTCCACCTGAGTGAAGTGAGGAAACTCGTGTAAAGTGCTTTTCCCGAGGGCACAAGATCGTTGACATGGTAGGATTCGAACCCGGCCTCTTGGTCCTGAGCCGAACACGCTACTATTTACGCCACGCGACCCCACAGCGATAGATGAATTTCTCCATCACGCTGATCTGATGTAACAGTTGCACCATCCAATTACTGGAGGGGATAGTTTATAGAGTACCCGAGATTAAAACCCTCCAGGCGTGCAGAGATAACCATTTATTACAGGGGAAGCAGGCTGCTAAACACATATATCACGGAATGCGAGGATTAGTAAGAATGACTGACCACTCCGCATGGATAAAGATTAAAGTTCAAGCAAGTGTGAGAGTTGCGCATTCAGAACACCTTACTTAGTCCTGCAATCGCACTTAAGACCCCCAAACGAACACAAGTGTGAAATTCTGGTGAAATGGATTTTGGGATTCGGTTTCCTGAGATAGAACTAGTCTGTACTAGTTTTATTCGTTGCTGTTAATCAACTTTGTCGCTGCCAGCTTTAGATTTATCGGTAGCATAGACGCCTGCGGTTTTGATTGCTACAGCCAGCGCTACCTCTTCCACAAGCTTCCGTCCCAAAATGCCTTCATCTGTCAGTGTTAGAAGTGACAGATCGTGTTTTATACCCCTGAGCAGCTGGCGCACGTCCGGTGTTCGTACTCACATCACGCTTTGAAAAAGGAGGACGATGCCCTGCTCACCTGCCATTACGTTAGAGCGTATTAAGGTAGTCCGACGCTAAATCCACATAATCCCCGGACATCCCACTCTTTCCGTAAATCGTGTTCCTCAATAACAAACTCGCCTCACCCGTCTGTCAACAACGTCGGGATGGATTTGGCGAGACTTAAAACTGAACTGAACGGACGGTCGGGAACGGAACTATAAATCTCTTTACAAACCTCAGTTCGTCATAGAGACCCCGGAACTTAATTAAGAACAAAGCGACTACCACATGATTCAATTACAATTCTTTCCATTGCATCCATACAATGTCCACAAGTGACGTCAGGGCGTCTGAACGGCGGCCCTTTCTGGCACGGGGAGATTGCGGGTATTAGTAATGAAATATAGACCCCATTTACACAGGGAAGAGATTGGCAATGTAAACATAACTCTACTTCTGGCCACACCCTAAGCCTGACAACATGCTAACAGTGGATTGACTAACTCCTAACACGGATCTGGTGTTTCCCAATTGCAAAATGACGAAACATATGTGGCGCAACAAGTGCATCTTATTCTGTAGCTGCGACGAATTATAGGAATGGTTGTTATGTTTTTTTTACATTACAGAGGTCTAACACTTGTTTTCAATCTGTACAAGTGTTCTTCTACTTAATCCCTTCCCTTCCCTTCCCTTCCCTTCCCTTCC